TATTTCCATGCTCTTTTGCATAACTGATTACATTCAAGCACGAGTGAAACTGCCGATAGCTTGTCTCTGCCATCAGCCTTCCTCTCATTGGTTTGTTCAGCATCAGCTGACGTCAGTTACATCAGGCTCGTGATTGGAGAAAGTCCGTTTGGGAGACAAGCTATTTCACTCGTGACTGGAGGCTAGTAATAGGAAGAAGCCTGTCTGCAGAGACAAAGTATGGGCAGTTTTGCAACTGCGCGGTTCTCTCCTCAGCTGACTTCCTTGAATAAGACACCCTTCAATTTTTAGTGTAAGGATTTTAGAAAAAAAGTATCATCTTATAGTCGGAAAAATACGGTAATTACCAGGGGCCATGCTGGTTGCACTGGTGTTAGAAGCTGTGATGACATCATTGTGCAAATGATGAAACTGGAAGCAAAATAATCGTGCCACTGTACGATGAAATCATGATGCCCCTGCCACAGATGTCAATGACCGGTTGGATGATGGTTCAACACATCTGAAAAACATGGGGAAGATGGCCATGGTTGCCACCAAATTAATTTTCTAATCCCCTTTTCCCCAGGTAGCTGATCTCCAATTATTTCCAGGTAAGGGTGAATGTATACGCATTCAGTCTCTCTTCAAATGATGACTTGCACACGTGAAAGTAACTTGAATTATTTCTACCCATTCCTGATCTGGCAGAAGAGGCATGTTGCAGGTCCCGTCAATTAATGAATGTCACATTGCAAGATCCAGAAATTAGAGCTTTTCTGTCATCACACCTGCCCTTTGGAATGCCATAACCCCCGACCGGCCCCGAGCCCACCAGCCTTCCAAAAATATGACTTTTTGGGGTAATAACAGGAAATAAGTAAACTTGCAAGACTAAGCAAACTGCTGATGGGAAAAGACATGACAAGGGCGAATGGAACAGGGAATTTTAATTGCATTTAATAAAAGCTAAGCTAGCTGAGCTTAAGGGCTTGGATTGTTCCTCCCAAACCTTAAAGGCTTGGATTGTTCTCAGGCATGGGGGGGGGGGCGGTCAGGAGGTTAGCTGGACCCTATAGGCTATTCTTAGTTTGTTAGATGTGTTTTTACCTCGGTGATCATTATAGGTTTTATATATTGGTTATTTTGGGGGTTGTTATTTTATACGGTGGTCTGATTTGTCGTTAGCCACCCAGAGTTGCTATAGAGCAGTGTTTCTCAACCTGGGGAATGCTGGCTGGGGAATTCTGGGAGTTGAAGTCCACACATCTTAAAGTTGCCAAGGTTAAAAAACACCGCAATAGAGAGAGAGGCAGCCATATCAATCTAAATAAATAACTACAGACAACACTTCTATATCCCGCCTAAGCAATACTCTTCCATAATATTATATATAAATCATCACATTTTCCCATTCAGTGTGAGCAGTGTTATGCAAATCACAGAATAAGTGGGGGGAAGTACAGACTGGAGACAAGAGAAAAGGAAAATAAATCTAAATAGATCTAATTAAGCCAACTCCATCAGCTATACCTCTCCATTTGTTTCGATCCTCACAGACTCTCCTTGCTTCTATCACATCCATCCACCCACCGCCTTTTGCTCTTTCAACTTCTCACCACTCTCTTTATGGGAATCTCAGTGCCTCTCTCAACTGCTTCCCCCTTCCCCTTGCACGTGTGGCCTTTTTTCATCTATGGCTTCCTTCCTTTCATTAAAAATACCATCAAAAATCCTCACACACAGACACACACCTAGACAAATGATACAAATAAAATCTGCCATGTTTTTCCCTATGACAGTTCATGGGCTGGGTTCACATGTTGCTAAGCCATTATTTAACCATGGCTGACTGAAGAAATCACAATTCCCTGGGCGCTCTCTTGCACCAAGCAAAACCCAAGATTCATACATTGCAAAAGTTGGATTCAGCCAACATGATAAGCCATAATCGAGCCATAATTAGCTTAGCCTGGTGTATAAACTAGATTGTGTAGAACCAATAGAAGAGAATATATGTAGGTCAGGGTTGAGCTGTGGGGTCTCCACAGATTATGTAGGGCTACATGTGATATGCCATGCTGGCCTACGCATATTTTTACCACTGGAATGGCCCACTCTATTTAATTAAACTTATTTCTAACCTACAATCACAGGCCCAGTAACAGCCATGCACGCTTGAAGTCAGTCCTAAGTGTATCAAACTCAGCTATTCCAAAGCACACACTCAACACTTTTATTTCCAGTTTGGGAAAAACAACACCGCAGACATAACGGTCTATGTTCTGAACAACTTGAAATGGCAAACGCTTGCTCTCCCAACCCATCCATAAATTAGGACTGACACCAGTAGATTATTACTCATTCTGCTCAAAGCACCGATATGGCCCTGAGAGAGCTGGCATTATTCCAAGAACTGGTGAACATTGGTTAATATAAATGCATATGTTTTATTATTTTTTTTTTACTCTGAGTAGGCAATTTTGCAAACGAATCACCAAATTAGAGACAGGCAAGGGCTTTTATTTCCAACTTGATGTGTGCCTCAGAAACTGAAAAGCTCTTTGCAGCAGCCCCCCACCCCCACCCCCCTTTCATTCATTCAACAGGGAAAAGCCACCGCTCTTCCTTTGATAGAAAGACGGTTTTGCTGTGGCATCATTAAAGCATTTGATATAAATATTAACCACGGGAACTCTTCTGCGTTAAAGAGGACAGGCTCACCCTAGGCTCAAATGATTACTTCAGCTGTCCGGTGGACACTGGGAGGGGTGATCCTATTCCAAATTAATGTGTTTTTCAGCTTAAAAAGCCACGTGCATTGCAAGTGGGGAGTGGTATGGGGTCAGGGTTGGTCAAGTAATTCCAGTTCACAAAACAAGACCAAAAAAAAATTGAGAAAAGTCGAGGAATTCAAACTCAAGGAATACACCTTAGAATTACTGGGGGAGGGGGGACCCTCTGTAAAGAATGCCTATTTTCAGTCCCCCTCGCACCTTTCAATAACAGGAGATCATCAGCAGCCATTTTCTCTGTGCCCTTGGATTGGACAGGCAGAACCTGTATATGAGATACTGTAAACCAGTGTTTCTCAGCCTTGACACCTTTAAGATGAGTGGACTTCAACTCCCAGAATTCCCCAGCCA